CTGTCTTTTTACCCCCGCCTTTGTGTCCCAGGAAACAGATATCCAGAATTATATGGTGGCTTTCTTCATATTAGTGAGATTGTAGCAGTTAGGATACAGATGATACGTACCTCACTGATTTGCAACTAATACAAAGTTTGAATTAATTGAGAGCAAGCAAAGAATTTAAAAAACTAAAACAAATAAGTACACTCACATTCTGTATCTGTACACCTACCCCATTCATTGTTGAAAACCCTGTGCCTGAATTAGTCTGCAGTTGCTACTATGAACTTACCCATGTACAAGTGACACCAATATGAGAATTCTTGAAAACTAGAGATTGCCTTTCCCTGTAGTAAGGAGTGTGCTCTATGTACACAAAAGAAATGTTGTTCTACAGAGAAACTTGATTATGGGAATTATTGTTTTGTTTACTTCTAAGGTTTAGCAGCATGTTGTTTAGTGGGATTTAGTTTATTATTTAGTTTAGATTTAGTGTCCTAATACCTGTTTTCCCTGTCTCCTAGAAGACTGTAACTACAGCTTCTATGATTACCACAAAGACACTACCTCTCGTCTTGAAAGCAGCAACTGCGACCATGCCTGCCTCTGTGGTGGGCCAGAGACCTACCATTGCTATGGTGACCGCCATCAACAGTCAGAAGGCTGTGCTCAGCACTGATGTGCAGAACACGCCAGTCAACCTCCAGACGTCTAGTAAGGTCACTGGGCCTGGGGCAGAGGCTGTCCAAATTGTGGCAAAAAACACAGTCACTCTGGTAAGCCAGCAGCTGCTCCTCATGTGTGATCACAAGAGAAGGTTAGGATATGCATTTGTATAGTAAATCCTTTATAGGCTCCTGCTGGATTTCTCAGTTTCCGTCATTCTTCTAGCATACTAAATTCCCCTTTGGGGCTGAGAAGGGAATATGACATTTCTGATATCTGCTCAAATCACTACAGAAGTGTCCTGACGCCAAGGAACAAACTCAGTGCATTATCTGAGGTCAAAGTATGACTTGTTTTTAGGGGGAAGGTCTCCTTCACAGAGGTATACACACTGTTTAATTTATCTCTCCCTCTGCCTTCACCCTGTCTACAGTGTTTTCCTGTGAAACTTGAGTGCTTAAACTCTCTTGTGCTGTATTACTGCCTTGGTGAAAACTCTCTGATAATTCTTTTAGTTTAATATCCCTTTAAACTGATTGTACCTAGAAAGTACTGGAGTTAGTTGGGGCACTTTTAAAATATTTAAGAAACTCACAAATTAACAGTGTCAGTGCCCAGTCTTGTCAGGGAAAAAAAAATCCCTTTAAGGAGGAAGTACCTGAACAAGAATTTTCACGAGAGTTCTAGGATCAAGCCATTTAGAAAACTGATATTCTCAGAAGCTTGGGAGAAATAGATCTAAACTTTGATATAAAATTTCCTTAAAATGGCACCTAAGAGCTCTTGATGGCTTTTGAATGATACCAGTGGTGAGTGAAACTAGAGAGCAACAAAGTGAAGCTTCACCACTTACCCTGGAATCCTTAGAGAAGCAACCAGATCATTCAGGCAGATACTGAGAGTTGGAAAATTTTCTATTCACTGTTAGATAAAGCTCTACCAGGAAAAAGCCTATTTGGCTAAGTAGAAAGTTTGATTTTACTTTGGATCCAGTCTTGACTTTTAAAGTATGTAAATGCAAAAGTTCTTGAGTGTCAAAGGAAATTGTCTAAGATTTACTGAGCCTGCTATGTTCTACATTAGATGTGGGAGGAAACAGAAGTGTGGTTGGTTCACTTTGTAGGGTAAAGCACGCAGGTGGGAAAGTGAAAAAGTTTCCTAATGCAGTGTTAATTCAGATGATTAACTTACGATGAAAGCTTGTAGAAAATATTGTCTGATCCAAAGAAGAGTGATGCTAAAAATACTAGCTTTGAGTTTGAAGAGCGATTGTTTTCTCTGGCTTATTTATCTTCCTCATTTTTTAGCAGGTTCAGGCAACACCTCCTCAGCCCATCAAAGTACCACAGTTTATCCCCCCTCCTAGACTCACTCCACGTCCAAACTTTCTTCCACAGGTGAGTAAAACAATGACAAGCCCAGTGATAGGTTAGATGGGACAAAAATCCTCATGGGCTCTTCCTAAGTATCCCGTAATGGGGCTTGTCAGCCCAGCTGTCTATCCCACTTAGCTAAAAATTCTGACTGTTGATTTCTGTACCATGAAGAAGCTTATTTTGTCATCATTGTTTATTAGCAGTGACCAAAGGCAGTAGTAAGGGAAAGTAAAGGAAAAGGAACATTTTCTAAATTTAAAGTAATTAAAACCATTATAAACCTTAAACTTACTAGAAGAATTTAGCCAAAGTCTGCCTGGCAGTGGGGAAAGAAAGCAATTAACACTTCTTATTTCTTTCCTGCATGCCAAAAAGAGTAGGGAAGGAAACAACAGCTAAACCAACTAGTAGAAACCATTCAGTTCTAACCTGGAAAGTGATGGTTTTGAGCATCATGCTTAAAGGCAACGTCTTGCTTGTAAAGGCTTAGGTTAGGGGTCTGTACAGGGGACTTTCTCCCTAGGCCTGAGCAGCTCTGAGCTGTATGACCATGTTCTCCTAAGAGTGTTCTTCCAGCAATTAGGCTTTCACCATTCTCTAGGCAAAATGTCAAGATTTCCCCCTTCTGGACCTCGAGGAGTGTTGACTTGCTTGGTAGAAAGTCTGAGATTTCCTATCTGAGGCCCTAGTTTTCAGACAAAGAGAAAAGAAGGATTTTTGTGGTCAGCAGTGTTAATGATTTCCGAATAGCCTCTGGAGAGAGGATGGGCACTGCTAATATGAGATAAGATAATTTTCAGATAAATCCTTAATAAATACCTTGGGTAGCAAACATTGTCCTAAGCACTGTGGATATTGCCAGTTTTCAAGACAGACAGTTCTCTGCCCTCAGAGTGCTTCAGGCACATGCACAGCCAATTACTGTGCCCAATATGGAAAGTAGAGGGCAGTCTGAGAGCCCATGAGAGAGATATCTGCCCATTATTTCTTTTTCCTTTTCTTTTTTTTTTTGAGTCGGAGTAGTTTCGCTCTTGTTACCCAGGCTGGAGTGCAGTGGCGCGATCTCGGCTCACCACAACCTCCGCCTCCTGGGTTCAGGCAATTCTTCTGCCTCAGCCTCCTGAGTAGCTGGGATTACAGGCACGCGCCACCATGCCCAGCTAATTTTTTGTATTTTTAGTAGAGACGGAGTTTCACCATGTTGACCAGGATGGTCTCGATCTCTTGACCTCGTGATCCACCCGCCTCGGCCTCCCAAAGTGCTGGGATTACAGGCTTGAGCCACCGCGCCCGGCCGAGATGGAGTCTTAACTCCTGTTGCACAGGCCGGAGTGCAGTGGCGTGATCTTGGCTCACTGCAACCTCCACTTCCCGGGTTCAAGTGATTCGTTCCTCAGTCTCCTGAGGAGCTGGGATTACAGGTGTGCACCACTATGCCTGGCTAATTTTTGTATTTTTAGCAGAAACAGGGTTTCGCCATGTTGGCCAGGCTGTTCTGGAACCCCTGACCTCAGGTGATCCACCCGCCTTGGCCTCCCAAAGTGCTAGGATTATAGGTGTAAGCTACCGCACCCAGCCTAATTGCCTGTTTTTAAGAGTATTAGAGAAGGTTTCTTCAAGCTTTCTTTGATGAGTTGACATTCAGTATGACCCAAAATCCTAGTCGAGTTAGCCTGCTAAAACTTTGGAAGAAGAATAAAAATGTCCTAGACAGGCTGGGTGCGGTGGCTCACACCTGTTATCCCAGCATTTTGGGAGGCCAAGGCAGGTGGATCATGAGGTCAGGAGTTTGAGACCAGCCTGGGCAACGTGGTGAAACCCCATCTCTACTAAAAATACAAAAATTAGCTGGGCCATGGTGGTGTGTCCCTGTAATCCCAGTTACTTGGGAGGCTGTGGCAGAAGAATCGCTTGAACCCAGCAAGGGGCAGAAGTCGCAGTGAGCCGAGATTGTGCCACTGCACTCCAGCCTGGGTGACAGAGCGAGATTCTGTCTAAAAAAAAAAAAAAAAATGTTAAAAATGTTCCAGGCAGAGGATGGAACATATATGTAGGTCCAGGATAGATAGATGCATTAAGTTTAAAGAACCAAAGGAGGTTTGCTATGCACAGAGGGCTATGTGACTCATGCAGGCTAGAGCTAGTTAGAGTCGAGGCTGGAGAAGTCCACTAGGGCCAGAGCTGATGGAACCTTGTAGGCTATGTAGGAATCTGGATCTTATCCTAGGAGCAGCAGACATTCATTAAGGCATTTTCAAGCAAGTACTTGATGTGGTCAGATTTATGGTTTAGAAAATTCCCTCTTGCCTCTATGCAGAGAATAAATTGGGGATGATCAAGACTGTGGGCAGCAAGAAGAGTTAGGACATAGTCAATAATGATAATAACCAATGTTTAGAGAATCTTGCTATGTGCTAGGTACTGTGCTAGGTGCTTTACATGGGGTGTCTATTTTAATTGTTACAACAACCCTGTGCAAATAGGTATTACTCTTTTTAAGGTAAGGAATCTAAGGTTTAGTCCATGTTTTTCAAACAGTGGATCATGGCTCATTTGTTATGAAAGCAATTTAGTGGATTGTAACCAGGGTGTTTAAATAAAATGAAAAGAATAGAGTAGGAAGTATTAAGAGTACATAGGACATACTGTGTTCCCCCATTTCAGGAAGTTTTTGTTTTTAGAAATAAATGTCTATAGGTGCATACTAATTACAGAGTCAAATATATTTCTTACTGTTAGTTAGTGGCACCCACCACAGGGTCATTTTAAGTTCAGCCAAACATTCATACCGACAAGACTTTCATGGGCCACACTTGGCACCAGTCTACTTGGAATGATATAGGACAGAAACCACAGCTTGTCAGCAAGATAGCACCAGACATTTGTCTTCAATGTGAGTCCATACAGTTGTCCCTACGGCTGTCCAAGGATAGCTCAGGTGTAAGGAAATAAGCTCCTTCTTTAGGATGGTGGGAAAGCCAACTTGGCATAGAAGCCTCATACCCACAAGACCCAGTATATTGTGTCAACTACATAGGCATAGCTTTCAAGGTCCCCACAATGGATGTGCTCAGGTTATGAGAGACACCCCACTTAAGGAAGCCAAATCATAGTGTCCCCTCAAGCCCATTCAGATTTGATTTAGCAGTAAGAGATTTTTTTTTGAGACGAGTCTCACTCTTATCACCCAGTCTGGAGTGCAGTGGCGCTATCTCAGCTCACTGCAACCTCCTCCTCCTGGGTTCAAGCTAACCTCCTGTCTCAGCCTCTCAAGTAGCTGCCTGGCTAATTTTTGTATTTTACTTAGTAGAGACAGGATTTCACTGTATTAGCCAGACTGGTCTCAAACTCCTGGCCTCAAGTGATCCACCAGCCTCAGCTTCCCAAAATGTTGGGATTACAGGCGTGAGCCACTGTGTCTGGCCAGTGAGGGGTCGTTTTTATCATAAGCAGTGTTTCCTGGTAATATGGTTGACATTCTTACCCTTAGACCAGGTTTCCAGGAGAGCAGAGCTAAAGAGTTAATTGAAGGTCAAACCTCATGCATAAGGGGAAAGGGTTTTGCCCACAGGGTCATAGTTTTAAAAGTTTGAAAAATACTGGCTTATGGCCAGACGCAGTGGCTCACACCTGTAATCCCAGCACTTTGGGAGGCCGAGGCAGGCGGATGATGAAGAAGGCAGATGACGAGGTCAGGAGATCGAGACCATCCTGGCCAACATGGTGAAACCCTGTCTCTACTAAAAATACAAAAATTAGCTGGGCATGGTGGCGCACACCTGTGGTCCTAGCTACTTGGGAGGCTGAGGCAGGAGAATCACTTGAACCCAAGACACGGAGGTTGCAGTGAGCCAAGATTGCACCACTGCACTCCAGCCTGGTGACAGAGGGAGACTCCGTCTCAAATAAATAAATAAATAAATAAATAAATAAAGATCAGGTATGTTGCCTGAGGTTACACAGCTAGTGAGTGGTAGAACCAGGATTTGAACCCAGGCAAGGCTGACCTCATGTTTTTAGCTGCAACTTTTTAATCATTGTTTTTAGTAAGCCAAACATAAGCTAGGAGAGTGGATAGTGGAGTGAAGATAGAAAGAAATAAGACAGATTTGAGAAGTATTTAGAGAGTAGAGGATAGAATAGGAATCAAGAATGATTCTGAAGTTTATCAAGAAAAGGGCATTTACTGAGGCAATTATAGGAAGAAGAGAGGATTGGAAGAAGAAATTAATGAGTCTTAGACATGTATTCAAGTTGAATATAATTCTGAAGTTCAAGAAATGTTTCAGATTCTGAGATAAAAGTGTGAAAATCTTCAGTACATAGATGGTAATTGAAGCCATGAGATGGGTGAGAGCTCCTAGGAATAATGAGAACATTGGGAAGAAAAGGGGTTCCCCGGAAAGAAAAATCCTAAGAAATAACTCACATTTAGGATGAGGCCAAGGAAGAGTAAGACCACAAAAGAGACTGAGAGGAGTGGCCAAGAACAGGGAGTTAGAGGGCCAGAAATGGGGGTAAGCTGAAGCTGTGGATATGAAGAAATTTCAAATGTGAGTTAAGGCCATTGGCAATGTTACTACTATACCGTGTACAAGTTCTGGGTGGGACCAGTCTCTGGATTAGACCGTTGACCTCGGCCAGAAGAGGTGGCATGGTGTAGAAGACAGAGCTCAGGATTTAGAATCAAAAGCTGTGTTCTAGGGCGAGGTTTGGACCTCAAGAGCTGATGAGTCTTGTATAAAGTTAAATGCCCTGGGATCTATAGAATTAATATACCAAAATGAACATTAATAAGTATATTAAATACCATTTCATACATAGAGTGTGGAAGGTATACTTTTATAGGACTTGAGCAGCTTAAGTAATACAATTATTATTCTCTCTTTCTCCTATAGGTTCGACCCAAGCCTGTGGCCCAGAATAACATTCCTATTGCCCCAGCACCACCTCCCATGCTCGCAGCTCCTCAGCTTATCCAGAGGCCCGTCATGCTGACCAAGTTCACCCCCACAACCCTTCCCACATCCCAGAATTCCATCCACCCCGTCCGTGTCGTCAATGGGCAGACTGCAACCATAGCCAAAACGTTTCCCATGGCCCAGCTCACCAGCATTGTGATAGCTACTCCAGGGACCAGACTCGCTGGACCTCAAACTGTACAGCTTAGCAAGCCAAGTCTTGAAAAACAGGTACAGGCAGAGTATGTACCTGTTCTGGGCAGTAGCCTTGCCATTGAGGCATATGGCTGCTGGGCTGTCTCTAAATACATTTTCTTAAGGGCTCTTCATTTCACCACCATTATCAGTGCCGTGCCGCTTATCGTGTGATAATTCATCCACGTGCAGAAGGGTCATTTTTACTGAAGAAAGTTGGGTTGCTTTTCCCACCATCCCTTTCGTAGATGGGCTCAGATTCCTGTGTGAGTGAGCTCCCCCTGCTGGTTTTGCTGTGGAAATTCACAGACAGTCTCTGCTGCCCTCAGTCAGGAAGCACAGATGTGGTAGTAAACAGAAAACGCCATGTTAGTTTCGGCCCAATAAGAATCCAGATGAAGATATGACTGTGAAAGTCAGGAAGAGTAAACAAAACAGGAAAGGGGATTTCATTTTAAAGACTTTTTTGATTGTTACAGATAATGGGGAGCGAAACAACAAAAATTAAAATTTCCAAAAAGCATTCTTTAACTTTAGAAGATGCAGACATTTTAGCTCAAATACTGAAACATTTCATTTATATTTCCTGAAGTCAGATTTTATCTTTAAAAACGAGGCTAGAGACATACAAGTAACCTGCAAAAACACTTGAAGTTTCTGTAGCAGAAGGATCTCTGAAAACAGCAAAAAGGATAGGCAGTCACTGTATCCTATTTGAAAAAATGACTAGTGATGAGAAAGAAGAATTTGGCAAACAAAGGCATTCTCTCTCAAGAAAGTTGCTTTAAAAAGTCATCAACCTATTTTTAATTGTTCAGGCTTGACTTCTCATTTATCCGAAAATAGTCTGTGGTGATCCTGAAACTTATGCCTCTGGATGGCAGACCATAATTCAGGGAGGCTATTCAGATGATGGGGAATGAAAGAGCTGCCTTCTGCCTTAGTCTCCTTGAGCAGAGGAACCTATGCACAGAGCACTAGGCCTTTAAATCCAGGCAGCTCACAAATACAGCAGACCTTGCACTCAAGAAGCCCTCAGGTATCAAAATCTGTGCTTAGGAAATACAAGAACTCATCTCTATTCCCGGGGGACCTATTCAAACCCCAGCAAGTGCTTTGAGAAACATTCAGAAATGAATTATTATTATTATTATTACTATTATTTCGAGATGGAGTCTCGCTCTTGTTGCCAGGCTTGAGTGCAATGGCTCAATCTCCGCTCACCACAGCTTCCACCTCCTGGGTTCAGTCGATTCTCCTGCCTCAGCCTCCTGAGTAGCTGGGATTACAGGCATGTGCCCCTACACCTAGCTAATTTTGTATTTTTAGTAGAGATGAGATTTCTCCGTGTTGGTCAAGCTGGTCTCGAACTCCCTACCTAAGGTGATCTGCCTGCCTTGGCCTCCCAAAATGCTGGGATTATAGCCATGAGCCACCATGCCTGGCCCAGAAATAAATTATTTACATTACTTTAAAACAGCAAATTTCAAATTTCAAACTCATTAACAGTGGAACTTCGGTATTAAAACTACTGAGAGTCAGATGCTCAAGCTTAGGAGTTTGAGTGGGGACATGCTGTCTTGTGCTAGCTCTCAAAGAACCTCTGAGGAGCCTCAGTGTTCCACAGAACCTGGTTTCACAACACTATTTTAGGTTACTAAATATTATTTCTCTTTTACCTCTTTTTTTGATAAAGATATTTTTAGGAGACAAGTTATTTTCATTTCATTTTATTTTTAAATTTGTTTTCTGATTACAAAGATAATACAAGTTCATTTTTAAAACAAATTCAAACATTACAAAAATATAAATTGTAGAAAGTACCTTTCCCATAATCTAAAGAGAGAGTAAACTTTTATCATGATTTTATCATAATTTTACCCCCAAGAGGTAATTACTATTAACAGTGATTATATTCTTACAGTTATTTTTTTTGTTTTGAGACGGAGTTTCACAGTTGTCACCCCAGGCTGGAGTGCAATGGCACAATTTCGGCTCACTGAAACCTCTACCTCCCAGGTTCAAATGATTCTCCTGCCTCAGCCTGCCAAGTAGCTGGGATTACAGGTGCCTGCCACCTCACCTGGACAATTTTTGTATTTTTAGTAGAGGTGGGGTTTCACCATGTTGGCCAGGCTGGTCTTGAACTCCTGGACTCAGGTGATCTCCCCACCTTGGCCTCCCAAAGTGCTGGGATTACAGGAGTGAGCCACTGTCCCCAGCCCCCAGATATTTTCTGTGTACAGGTAAAACATTTTTAAAGCAAAAACCAAAATCAAGCTATGTATTTTGCAATTTGGGGTTTTTTTTTCCCACTTTAATAGATCTTAAACATCTTTTCATGTCCTGGCCTTCATGTTGATAGAGCTTTTTATTTTAATTATAATATTACAAAACGATATCCATGAATTCTTAAGAATTAAAATAATTTCCATTGTAGCAGTAAATGTCATGGTTTCTCTTTTTGGTCTAATAAAGAAATTCAGGGCTGGACGTGGTGGCTCACACCTGTAATCCCAGCACTTTGGGAGGCCAAGGTGGGTGGATCACCTGAGGTCAGGAGTTCAAGACCAGCCTGGCTATCATGGTGAAACCCCATCTTAAAAAAAAAAAAAGAAATTCAGTCATTGTTATTTTAGTTTGCTGGGCAGCCTGGCATAATAGTCTTAGAAGTTACCAAGCTCAATCAGCAGAGACTCTCTTTAGACTAGATTGCATTCTCAGGATTCTCTTACTTCATATCTTTCAACTATCCTTTTCTATTTATATTTCATTTTCAGTATCACATTTATAGCCATTGAGAGATCTCATAGATCATAGAGCTAAGAGGAAAGCAATGTAATACTTGTAGCCGTGGAAGAACCTGTTCACACCTGTTCACAGAGTTATCAAACCTGTATCCAACATTCTCTATATGACCAGGCTAAATGGGTTCCCTTATGCTTTCTGCTGTTCCCTTTAGATGATAACATCATTCATTTAATAAAAATGTGTTAAGTGCCAGTTGCTATGCTGCATGTGGTTTCTATATATAAGGTGGATAAACTAAAGCCTATACCCTCACGGAACTCAGTTTCTAGTGTGTTTGGAGCAGGCACTGAGGCTGTGTCTCCAGGGAAAGAATCATGGCTTCCCACATTGGCATAGGAATGGGAGAAGGCAATGCCAGCTACAACAACAGTGGTCTCACTTGGCCTTCCCCTGTCAGACATGACCGACTTCCATATCCACCCAGATAAGAGATGTTATCCCTCATTAGAAACCACATTACATTGTGGCTCTGAGAAAACAAGTGATAGGGTTTAAAATCTTTGAAGCTGAAGACTTGTTTTAGACAGAAAGGCGGATGAAGCCAAAAGACTTAGGATATAGCCTCCACATTGCCTCCCTTTGTGTCTTTGTCCTCTCCAGCACTCTAAAATGGGGCTAACACTTGTTGGTGATGAAATGAGGTAAATTATTTAATGTTTATTAGACTATGCCTGATAGAATTCTCAGAAATTACGTTTCTTTCTTATTCACCACACTGCACACCCTGCAACAAAGACTTTTATGTATGTCTCCAAGGCTAAGCTACCGAAAAAAATCCAAGGTTCTGTGGGGGAAAAAATTGCCACATTACCCCTACTTCCATATATGTTTTTCATAGGAACCTGCACAATATACCCTAAAGAGGAGTACTTAACAAAATAAGAATATTATCCAATGTATTATCTTTAAATTTCTGTTTTCTCCGTTAGTAAGCCTGAGCTGATACTCCCATCCCCCGCCACTGCATTTTAATACTGGTGCTATAGTAGGGAAAGTAAATCCAAGTGACCAGACATGGATTTTGCTTTGCCTTCAATCCCAATCTGTTTTAACCTTGACTAACAAAATTATTTGGACATTTATTTGCACCTGACTAACTTTGATTTTTCATGCAGACAGGTATATAGGGTATACTTGATTAACTTCATTCTAGATTTATGCAGAGTTTTTGGATTCTTTTATGATACCACAAAGAACAGGAGTTGCAAATTGAAATAACCGTGGGTTCGAAGAAGAGATGTAAGTGAGTAAAACAGGCTAAGAGTAAACAACCGGACTTTTTATTTATTTTTCCACTTTCAGTGGGAACATGAGCACAAGAGATATCCCACTTTTATTCTTAATTCCCCTTTAAAATAATAAGTAAGACAAGCATGATAATAATTGACAATAGAAAATGGAAGAAACTGTGGCAAACTGCACAGTAATGTGCTTCATCTCAAGGAAGCAGCTGCTTCTTGGCAATAACAAATTTTTATCACATGGAGACTTTTTCAAGAAAAGCCTGAAATCCAGATGTTGTCAAAAGTTGCCTAGTTGTTAAAATACTGGTAACTGTTTAAACACCATAGGCAAAAAATAACATCTGCAAGACAACTTCAACTCTGGATAATGGTTTATACTCTCTGATAGAAACAAAACAAATTCATGAATATCTCTTCAATTCATTGAAGAGATATTCATGAATTTGTTTTGTTTTCTAATCCAATTTTTTTTAACTGAGGTGAAATCACATAAAATTAATCATTTTAAAGTGAACAGTTCAGTAGCATTTACTATACTTACAGTATTGTGCAACCACCACTTCTGTTAAGTTCCACAACATTTTCATTACCCCAAAATAAACCCAGTATCCATTAAGCAATTACTTAACTTCTGCCTTTTGCCCCCCACCTGCCCCTGGCAATCACCAATCTGTTTTCTGTCTCTACAGATTTGCCTGTTCTGGATATTTCATGTACATAGAATCATACGACATGTGACCTCTTATGTCTGGCTGCTTTCACTTAGCATGTTTTTGAGATTCATCCATATGGTAACACGATCAGTGCCCCTTCTATTTTAAGTGGCTGACTAATATTCCATGACATGAATATACCATAATTTGTTTATTCATTCATCTCTTGATAGACTTAGGAAATCATAAGACATTGGTTGGTTCCACTTTTTGGCTATTGTGAATAGTACTGCTGTGAACATTCATGTGCAAGCATTTGTATGAGTAC